TRTCAAAAGATGGAGTATTCTGWATAAATGTAACTRACCTAATATAKASRGCTMWTATTAACAAAATMTTTGTGTGGGGCCACACAGCCAGTAACAAAAATACATAAATAGCAATGAGTCAGGTTTGGATTTGAATCAGTATGTTTTAAATCCAATGAAAGAAARAATGTTAACTAATAAATTTGGACAATAATCTGGCTATTTAGTGATATTTCCACAGTTGTGGTCTTGACTGGTCTTGAAATAAAATTCCAAGTCCTTAATGTCCAAAACCAAGACAAGACCGAGTACAAACAGTGTCGAGTCCAAGACAAGACCAAGATCATCAAAAAGTGGTCTTAAGGCCATGACCGGTCTCAAGTACTACAAYACTAGCTGCAGAGACAAATGAGACACACAGTCAACTCTCTCATTCACACCTAGGGACATTTAGAGTTACCAGTTACTCTTAACATTCATGTTTTTGATCTGAAGGAGGAAACCAGTTTAYCTGGAGMAAACCCACAAATGCACAGAGAGAACATGCAAACTTTACGCAGAAAAGGTCCCCAACCGGGATTCAATCCGGAAACCTTCTTGCTTCTTGCATTTTGCACCCAATAGATTTTTATGCACAAAGAAGAGGCAGGGGAATCATAAATGATTAAAAAAAGTATCTAAAGCTGAAACATTTCTTGAAGGTGTTTATTCAACTAGAATAATGAAACTATTGCATAGACTCTGTATTTATAATACACAATATCCATTTCAAGGATAATGACTGTATCATGCTCCCCTCGCTGAGCCATGCAACACCTTTTTTTATGTTTTGTAACCTGTCGATCATGACTGTGTTTTATAGTTGAGTTGCAACAGAAATAGACAACAAAGAGCAGGATTATATAGACCACACATAGCTATTACCAAAGAGACACACAAATAAAGAGATTTATGTGTGACAGGTCTAAGCTTTTGGTGTTTTTTGTCTGGCAGTAGCAGTAAAGTAGTAATTGAGAGATTAGCTCTAAGGTGCGATCGTGACACTCCCTTGTTTGGTCTTCCCCATACTGGTCACAAAGCACATCAACAGCAGGCAGGAGAAGGAGTAAAAGGCTGTTTAAGAAGGCTGACACTTTTTTTTAGTTCCTTTGAACTCAATGACCTGGTGATTCCAATTCCCTCTTTTGGTTGCAAAAATGTCGATGAGAATTCAGATTTAGATTGTATTTTTGTTAATAAACATGTTAAACCCTTATTAAAGGGATCCCCGATTAGTTGTAACATTAGACTTTATTTGATAAACATAAATTTTAACTATAAAATAAAAAAAATGTAAAAATACTGTAGGCTGTTTAGTTTTGTAAATTTTTAAAAAATATATTTTAACACGGATGTAGCCATTTTATTAACACACAAAGCATTCTGGGTAAATGATGACATGAATAGGTCCTCGGTGTGAGCGAGCTATATCCACCCTGAAGGTTAATCTTGGACAATATCTGATGATCGACTCTTTTAAATGAAACCAGAGAGCGTTGACAGAGAGGAGAAGGTAGAAATGACTCAGCCAGTCTGGGCTGGGGGCATCTGGTGCGCTGGTGGTCTGCGGTTCTCATGGGCTGGGGTGTAGGG